ACGACGGAGCGGGGGGGCGGGGCCGGGGGTTGCGTCGAGGAGGGGTTTACGCCGGCGACGTCTGCAGCGCGAGGCTTCGCGCGTGAGCGGCGTGGGCGCTGGGCCTGTCTACCGAGCTTTTCTTGGGCGCACAGATCGTCGACGCCGGCTCCTGGGGGAGTGCGGGGGGGAGGCGTCGGGGTCAGCGGCGTGATCTACGGCGGCCTCAGCCATGGAAGAGACGCAGCCGCTTCCGCAGTCCGAGCTGCAGCTGTGCGACAGCCTTATCATCTGGGTGAGTACCGTGGGGCAAGGTGGGCCGAGAAGACGCAGCGACTTAACCTGGGCGTCCAGTTTTCCCTAGGTGGGCTCGAGGAGTACCCGGGGCCGCCTGCGTCGTGGACTCAGCGCATTGCCCCCCGCGACTCCTGGCGTCCTTGACCGGGAGAGTGCCAACTGCGGGTCGCGGGGCAGGTGTGTGTGTGTGTGTGTGTGTGTGTGTGTGTGTGCGCGTGTGCGCGCGCGTGCACGTTTGCATCTGTCGGGACGAGGGAGGGGAAGGGAGCTCTGGGGGACGGGACTAAAAAGCCTTGTCTTAAACTCCTGGCTCCTGACAGCTGTGGCTGGAGCCAAGCGCCCATCCCCTTTACTCCCCCCCGTCCCATTTTCTCTTTCTGCCCCGCATCCAAGCCCTAGACTTTATAGATCGCAGACACTCTCGCCGTCCATCTTCTGTGTTACGTTCCCAGCAGGACCTTTGTGCCACTTGGGAGTGAACACCCCCTCCGAAAAAAGCTCTAGTTGGAGCTTCCACCCCAACCACCTTGCTTTACTTGTACACAGGTGGCCAAGGGGTGATTTTAGTTCTTGTATCAGCGTTTCTGCACGACCCCAGGTCATCTGATTTTGTTAGAAGCCGCTTAGACGAGATGTTTACATGTATTTCCTCTGTGGAGAAAAAGATATGTTGGGGGGAGGCTCTTAATCATTTTTTCTGGCTACTCTCCTCCCCGCCCCCCGGCGGACAGGCATTTTCTTTAAAGGAAAAGCTTGGCATTTTCGTTTATACTTTAGCTATGCTTAGTATTTCTATTAAATTGTGTTGAGTTTGGACAGGTAGTATCTGTCCCTAGTATTCTCGTCAGCAAAATGAGGTCTAACCTTTTGGAGGTGCTCAGCGATCAGAAAGCTGACATGATGTGATTTCTCATCCATGTTGGGCAAGGTTGGTGCTGGATAATCCACAAGGTGTTGTTAATGATGCCCATCCCCAAACCATTTGCTTAGTTTTGTGTACGGGAACGTGTGCAGAATGGAATGTAAACAGACGGGATTATGAGGCGGTAATTGGTTGATGAGATTCCCAAGCGATCTCTTAATGCGTGTAATTCAAAAGAATGAGGGAAGGTTTCTGGCAGTGTATGAAGTGTATTAAAAATAACCACAACTTAAAGCAACTTTTACACTTCTAGGTAAATAACTTTCTCTAAGTGTATTGCAAGTGTCTAGGGTTTCTGAGTTAAAAGCAATTAGCTAACTATTCATCTGTATTTTCATTTAAAATAAGTATTGGGGTTTAGATGCTCTATTAAGACTAATGAAACAAGGCAACATTACTTTTAATGATGTGTTTTGTTAAAACAAATTACTAATTAGAGGGTGTATTCTAATCTGTTACCATTGTTGCTCTAAACATCTGACTTAAATAGTAACCTAGTCTTTATGATGTCATCGACATATATGAAGTGGTAGAGAAGCATAGGATTTCTTTGAATTGCAGTATTTTTAAATATTGTGTGGATTTCTTTGAAGTGTACTGCAATATTTTTAAATATTGTGTGACTACATCCATTTTTTAATCATCATTTATTGAGTCCTACTTTGTATAAGGCACCGAGGAAAACAGATATCACGATAATCAAAGAACTTTCCATTTTAATTGGAGTGGTACGCATAGCTGTGTATTTTTACAGTGGAAGGCAAAATTTCTTAAAAACTCCAAAAATGTTATAAACCAAATGATAAAGAGTTATAGATGATGGTATAATTGGTTGCTTGCTTCTCCATTTCTCTCGAGCTGCAGAAACACTGTGGAGAAAATGGAATTATTGTGCAGACTGTTGCCTCTACAAATGCTACTACAGCCAAATTCACCTGTTCCCACAACACTGTCGAGCTTTATGATTAAGAAACGCCACACAGTTCCTCTCACATTTCTCTTTGTAAACTTTTTTCAGTACCTCAAGTGAGTCCTCAACTCTTCTCCCCCTTGGGAAAATGACCTCCTCCTGTCTTTGGCTCTGGCTCTAGATCCCATCCCTACCACCTCTTCTAAAACTTTGCACTGTATTTCCTCTTTCTGTATTTACAACTTCTTTCTCTCTATGAGCTCCTGTCTCTCCACATGTAAACTTGCTCAGATCTTCCCTATCTTAAAAAGAGAATGAAGAACCACCACTCGCTATTAAAACCACATTGCATTTCCTCTTCTCTTTACAAATTTCTTGAATTTTTTTGTACTCCTCCTTTATACTTTTTGAATTTTCATTCACTCATCAACTCACTGTACTTGAGCTTCTTTTTTTTAAGGCCTCTACTTAGCTTACTTGATTTGGCAAACTGATAACTGTTATATTATCTTTGTTATTTGATGGATCCTTTGTGAAATTACTTTCTGCCTTAGTTTCTTGGGTACCTGCCCTTTGGCTTTTCTTTACCTCTCTAGATGAGTCCTAGTGAAATTTCCTGTCCTCTTTTGCCTTCGCCAGCCGCTGCATTCTTGATATTACCTCACCTTCCTAAATTTCTCCAGACTTCCCTTATGCCATACTCTTCCATGCTCACTATGCTACATTGACTTTATATTTCTTGAGGATGTCAAGCCCTTTTTTTTTTCTTTAATACATCAGGCTTTTTAATTTGTTTTCCCTCTCCCTATAATATTTTCCTAGTTCTTCTAGTCACTGGCTGGCTTCTCACTATTCAGTTCTTGGGTCTATTGTCATTTTTCACAGAGACTTGATGAAAGCGAATGACCTATTTATCCCCCACTCCTACCCCACCATAACCTGTTAACCACTTTCTGTCATGTCTGTAATACTTAACACTTTCTGAAGTCATTCTATTTGCTCCTTGGGGTCAGAGCTCTATCTGACTTGTTTTCTGCTTTATCCCCAGAATCAAGAACTGGCTAGGATCACCAGGAAAACATCGAATCAAAATAGTGAGAATAAATATCCTTGTCTTGGTCCTGATCTGAGACCAGCATTCTACCATTCAGTTATTTCACTATTAAGTATGTAGGTTTTTGTAGATACTTGGGGTGAATTTTGAGCTGTATCATAGAGGATTGATAGATTTTAGTAAGTAGAGGATATGAGTTTTCCAGACACAAGGAAGAACCCCTAGCAATAAGATAACTGGTCTCCTTTGGCCATTGTTGGTTGGCCAAAGATGGGAAGGAGGAGGTGGAAGATGTGTTTGTCAGGATATCCCTGCTCTCTTACTGTGCCCCCTGCCATGCTATGTAATGTCACATGTTGAGGGAAAGTAATAAGAGATATAAGATTAAGAAGTTATAATGGGGGCTAAATCACGGAGGCGAGAAGGTTCTTTCAGCACTGGACATTGTTGTAGGACAGTAGAGCCACCATTAACAGAATTAAAAAAGTCACCAAGAAAAACTGGTTAGGTGAAGAGATGCTTCTTTTGGAAGTTTTTAATATGTTATGTTTTATGATTTAGATCTCTTCTTGAAATAACTAGTTCTTAGAAATATTATACTGCTCCTTAGCAAAAAATTCAGGGCTGAGTGATAAAATTGGACATCGTTTACATGGTGGAAGGAGTATATTAGAGTTCGAAGTATTTGTATGAAGGTAAATTTAATTCTGCCTCTTGGCTCTGTGAATTGGAAGTTAAAAATCTTTAGAATGTTTACTAATCTTTGCTAATAAAATTGGAGGGCTGGACCGGATTTTTTTTTTTACTGATTTCCGGGTTCTCGCATTCTTTAACTTTATAGGCAGGTGAAAGAAAGCCTAACATCAAATATACGCCCAAATTAGCAAAGAATATTAAAGGCCAAAACATTTTAAGATCTTAAAATTCAAAACAGTGATCTTTTTTTTTTCTGAAATGAGCAGCTAGAAAAGGAGAATGTGACCATACAGTTGACCCAAAGTTGAGTTTTTGTTGGTGATCAGTCCACATTTCTGATTATTCACTTTATTTAAAAATACAGAAGAAATCAGAACACCGTGCTGAGTGGTGGAAGCCCTATCTGTCCTCTTTGGTTCGCTCTGTAAAGACTTTTGCCTCTTCACCTCTATGAAGAGTAGCATGGAAGAATACATTTCCTTTTGTCCCTTTGTTTTGGTCTCATCCCTCCCGCTGAGCCTTTTAATTAATCTACTCTTCTAGGTTATAAAGTCTTTCAGTGTAGCCAAATGAAATTGCATTCTCTGTTTTCTAATTTATTTTGTAGCTAGTTTAACAACTTCCAAGACACACTCCAATATCCATGACTGTAAGAAGGAGAAATCAATCTTAATCTGAATCAATCAAAATCAATCTTAATCATGTGGGCAACTAGGCAACCACTTAGCACATATCTTCCTTTTACATATTTCTTTACTATTTTGTCTAATATTCCAATTAAAATTGCCTCTGAAATTGTCCTTTTAAAATTTCTAATCATATCCATTTTGTAAAAAGTTAATGATGTGAAGTGTTAATAGGAAGAATTGAAAAGTGGGAGCCACAGTTTACCTGAAAGTATATGATTTTCTTCCTTTTAAAGATGTTCTAAACCCTGGAGTTTCTCATCTCTATACATCCACCCAATTGCAAAATTTTTATTTTATGTTTTAAATATTCTATGAATTCATCCTGTCCTCTCATCATTACCTTTGTTATCTCTAAGCTTAATCCATTTTACCAATACGACCATTGCAGGAGCCTTCTAACTGACTCAAGCATAAAGCTTCTCTCTTCCATTTTTTGTGTCACTATTGCTGTTATGGAAAACATACTGAAGATTTCACTCACTCACTCTCTTCTTTATTACTCTCTAGTGATTTTTCATACCCAAACTAATTTTTCTAAAAAAAAAAAAAAAATTTGATGTGCATAAGAATCACTTGAGGATTCTCTGATTTAATATTATCTGGAGATTGTGATACATATTGTTCTTAGATCTCCCGTACTTTAGAAACCCTGACTCATAGCTGATGTGCTAACAGGCATTGAACTTGTACCACATGCCAGGCACTGATCTAAGTACACTGCTAATTCATTTAATTCTCACAACCGTCTTGTAAGGTAGAAACTACTCTGTTTCCTATTATATAGAAGGTACCATTAAGGATAAGGCCAAGCTTTTTGTCATGGCCCTTCAGAGTCCTGGCCCATGACTTTTCTTTAACTCTGTTGGTTGTTACTCCTCCCTGTCCATCTTTGTACTGGAAATCCAGTTATTGAACTGCATGTTGCCTAAAAATACCAGCTCTTCATATATTTGTGCTTTTATCATGTTCCTATTTCTTGAAGTTTCCTTCCCTTGGCCCCTTCTTTACTCAAGACATTCCCTTTAGGAATCATCTCTAAGGAGTCTTTCTGAAATACGAGCCCTAATTCAATTGATTAGTCAACTCTGGTATATTTCTGAACATTTTGTGCATACTATAATCATGAGACTAGAATGGCATTTTTTCTAGAAATGATTTACGTCTTTTTATCCTCTCCTTACCTTTTGATTCAAGCTCCTTGAGGGTAGAAACCTGGTGACTTTCCTTTGCAATTCCAGTCTATACTACAGTGCCCCACAAAGATTAGGAGTCCAGTAAAGTATCTATGTGAACTTTGAAAGTAACTGTGGCTAGATTTAGTTTGTCTATGCCATTCTTCCATGTTGTATTAAGATAAGGGAGACAGATTTGTAGAATCTCGAAATATATAAAACCACTAAAGGAGAATTATAGTGGGAGAGAATTTTATTGGATTAAGGTAAGTAGTAAACTAGGGAATTAAACTGAGTAGTAAAGGAAATGAATATGTGCAGGAAAAAAATCATATTTAATTTAAGATAATTATGGGTTGAGATTAGATTTCTAGAAAGTATATGATACAGTTTAGCTTTGTTGTAATTTGCTTTTTAAATTTTTTTTATCTTGTGTTTGTTTATTAGAAAAAGACATCACCATTTCACTTCTCTTTTTAATAGGTAAACATGAATGTTTAACAAATAGAGATTTGAAAAATTATAATATCTAAAATGAAACGAGATAGAAACAACTTCACATGGTAGGTGGGCTCTGGACTGTTCATGCCCTAAGGCTAATTGTTAGATAGCAGGCACAGTTCTCCCTTAAATTAGAGCTCATTGATTAAGTAGTTTTAGACTTGACATTTCTAGCCTTTGTTTTCCTACCAAATGATATGAGTGAAATTTTAATTTGCATAATGTTAGGTTATCTAAAGGGTTTTTTTCTGATGTTGTTCTCTTAAAAATAGGCAAAACACAAACTGTACTATCTTAAGAGTTCTATATATGCCTTTCAGAAATTCTAAAGTGCTTCATACATGACATCATTATATTTTATTATTTTAGGTACAATTTTTCACGATTTTATGAAATGTTAAATGTTTATTTTTGTAAAAATATTACACAGCTACAGAAACATATTAGTATCGTTTCATTTGTTTAGCAGCGTCTAAATTTAAACAAATAGGACAGTTATTAACTATTTTTCTCTCTAGTGTTCATATATACATTTGAGGGAGGATAACACGATCTCGTAGATATAAAGAGGCAGTAAAGTCATTTGCTTTATGTCATTTTAGCTGCAGACATTCAATACCACCGCACCTTGTCAAGATGTGAAACAGCTGACTAATGGAGTTGCCATGGCACAAGTTCTTCATCAAATGTAAGTAGGGCTCTTCCTGAAAGAATTGTAAACCCAATACCAAGGAAGAAAATTTAGACTTGTATTCTAAAGTTTATTGAAACTTTATCCTATTCAGTGGTGACAAGCATATGACGGTACCAAGACATTCTTGCATCTAGGGAACAAAAAAGTTTTATCACCTGATTATTCTTTGTTTGTTCATAGAGATACATCTTAATTAAATAAGCAATCAGGATTCCTATCTATTCAAGAGAGGTTAATTTTAAACTTGTTCTCATCATATTCACAAGTTATAGTAACTGGGAAAGGAACAGGTTAAATAAATGATATAATTGCTTATAATGTTTCCTACTGTTATACTATTGTCCTTTTAAGGTATCAGTGTGTGGAGATTATTATTTTAGAGATAATTATAACAAATATAGGATTTGGAAAAAATATTAAATTTTAAAATATATATCCGAACTAATAGTAATGGTATAAATCCACCAATAATGAAATGATGTATAAATTCAATTTGAAGTCACAAATGCTGGGGAACATTAACTAATAAAGTGATTCTGGTTGGGTTAGGCCCATTTTGTATAATTATACAATATCAAAAGTTCTTGCATCCACTATTTTCTAATTTTTGCCAAACATTGTTCAAGGATTAAGGTTTATAACATCTACATTATGAGCTGTGCTCTTTGTAGGATAAACATGGCCAATTCTGTAGTCATAATTTATTCATTAGTAGTCATTGATTTTGTATTATTTTACTTTCATGATGATATATCTTCAGTGAGTCCAGAATCCTATTTCTTCTACATTGTTTTATAGTCAGAAATTTTGTATTTAATCGTTGCCATCATTTTGTAAAGGTTTGTTATAATTGACATTGTACCCTATAGATGAGTTAGGAGAAATTCTTTACCACTCTTTAAAAAACAGCTTAAAATAGTGTCAAAATCCTAATTACCTGGAAAATTCAAAATGATCTAATTTGAATAGACAGATTTTATAGATAAGATTAACACTTTAAGAAACAAGTATAACATGTTAACTTTTTTGTGTCGATCATTATGACATATGCCTTACTTCCCTCCTTTCTTAAATATTTTATTCCTACGCTGATTAGTTTCAAAGAGATTTAACTGGTCAGAGCCAAGCATTCTGAACAAGATTCTTTTTTCTTTTTTTTTTCTTGATAATTTAGGAAAGTTATTATTTTTTGTCATTGAGATATACACATTGCCTTTTCTCATTGCAGTATGTTGTAGGTATTGGTTTAGATGCAGCTACATTGTGATTGGTGTGGACGTAATGCTGGTGTATGCTCACTCACTTCAACAGCACTATCCAAAGATGTAATTTGTATATATCATGGTGGCTTCAGTAACTTAATAGCACAGTATGAGACCTGTTTTTACTCTAATAGATAACTCTTTGATCTCCTATACTCTAGCACTGTACCTGATGTTAAAGTGTAGAGTCAGGTCAGTTTTAGTTAAACTGTATCCTTTATCAACTCATTTTTCTATTATCTGTTGGATGCTGATCCTCTGTCTCTCTGATTTTTCTTTTCTTTCTTTTGTCTCTTATTGTCTTCTAATAATAGCTTTTCTGCAGGAATAATAAAGTAGCCAATCAGAAAGCTCTCTTTCTTCATAAAACAAAGGACAGTGTCCTAAAATTGGACCTTAATCTTTTTATTTGTTTGCCTATTTTCACATGTGGTTAGTTAGATATCTAAGTCTCCTTATCATCTAAGTAAATTTTAAATTTGTTTTTCTTTAGAACTGCTTTCCAGTTTTAGCTTTTTAGAAGTCAAGATCCAGACAGTGAAACTTATAGCATACATTTTCCCCTGGCTGGGTCAATGTAACATATTTCTCCTAAAAGGACAGATTTTACCATAATTCTTTGAACACTTCAAAACATTTCTTCTGTTACATTTTATTATGTATTGAATTGATGGCAATTCTGACATCAAATCACATCAAAATTGTTACTGAAGTTGAGAAGGAAAATTTTGCTTTTTAAGAAAGTAGCAAAATTTAATGAATAATTCTTTTATTATATACCTGAAGCCAGTAGGCTTCTAAATAGTAAAATCCTAAACCAGTGCCCAAACTATGTGATTTAGACATGGAATGTCATGAGATTATTGCTAGAGTTCTACAGCTTCTCAATTATTATCTTTAGTCTGAAATGTGTGTCGAAGTTGTTATTTAAAAAACAAATGGGGGAAAAACTATAACTACAACCGTGTGTTTCCTGAGGTTGCTGTAACAAAGTACTACAAACTTGTATGGTTTAGAGCAACAAAAATTTGTTCTCTCATGGTTCTGGAGGTTAGACGTCCTAAATCCAGGTATTGGCCTGGCCGTGCTCCCTCTGAAGCCTCTAGGGCAGGATCCTTCCTTGCTTTGTCCAGCTTCTGGTAGCCCCAGGCATCCCTTGATTTGTGGGAGCATAACTCCAATCTCTGTCTCCATCTTCATGTGGCCATCTTCTCTCTGTGTCTGTGTGCCTTCTTTTCTTAGAAGGACACCAGTTATATTGGATTAGGGCACACCCTAATTTAGTATGACCTCATATTAACTTGATTATATTTACAAAGACCTTACCAGTTTCCATAAAAGATCACATTCACAAAGGTACTAGGGGTTAGCCTTAAACATATTTTTTAGGGGGACATAATTCAGCACACAGCTATAAATACTGCTTGCCACTTCCCCTAAAAGAAAGGCTTAGCTTTGTCACTTTAAGTACCAGATAACTTCTCTGCTTTTTGCTATTGTCTTTGACGGTTTTTGCAAGCAAGAAAAATGAGACAGAGAATATAGTATATTCAGAGACCTCAGGTATCATGCACTTACTTGTTCATTCATTTATTCAGCAGATATTTGAGCATTTAAAATGATAAATCGTGATAGCCAACATGAGTATTTACTAAATATATCATTATATAGCCTATACATGTTATTTCATGTATATTTACTGTTCAATGAGGTAGACTTTTTTATCCTCAATTTATAGATGAGGAAATAGGTTCAGAGAAGTGAAATGACTTTTGTAAAGTCAAGTAATGAGTAATTAGAAAAGCCGGGATTTGCCTCAGTTTGGCCAGCCTTGAAAGCCAGGGCTCTCGGTCAGCTATAATCATTGAAATCTAGTATTTTGATCCCCTCCTGATAGAGGTTTACTTTGGGGTCTTAACAAATGAAAGACCAGGTGTGCTTGTTCAAATTACAGATGACAATTTGATGTGTTAAGCATAGAAGTCCCTTTGATTATTTAAGAAGAATGTCGGGGTATCCATTGAAGCAACACAACTATGTTATATACAGTAATCAGTAGGCACTAATTATTACTTGTGTTTAGTTGGTGAAATTGTTGAAGACAAATACCATGGGTGGAGTTAAAAAATAATTGTGTAGTGATTCTTACCTAGTTTTAATTAGAAAACAATTGGACCATTCCTTAATCTCATGTACCCTTCTTATTTGGTGCCCCTTGAGTTTCACTGAATTTCTGGGAAATATGAGAAAACGAGCTAATTGTTGGAGCCAAGAGTCTCATTAAGGCAAGTAGATGTGGCAGAGCAAAAGAGTAAAAGAAGGATATGTCCAGAGAGTTCTGAGTTTGCATATCAAGTTTAATAGGGTAAAAGATCGGCTGTCATCATGATTGAGAAGAATAGATTTGTTTATAAGAAGGAAAGCTGGAGACTTAATGGATAAGTTAGAAAATATTTCTCAGTTAGGGTATAATGAACTGAATGTTTTGTGCCCCTTTGAAATTCATACGTTGAAGCCCTAACTGTGCAGAGCTTCACTGTGTAGCTATAAGGGCCTCTAAGGAAGTAATTAAGGTTAAATGAGGTGATAAGAGTGAGGCCCTGATCTGCTAGGATTAGCCCCTTATAAAAAGAAACACTGAAAAGGTCATTCTCTGAACATATAAAGAAGAGTCCATATGATCACACAGCAAGGTGGTAGCCACCTAGAAGCCAAGAGACCTCAGAATGAAACCTACTTTGCCAACATCTCAATCTTGGACTTCCCAGCCTCCAGAACTGTGAGAAATAAATTTTTATTCATTAAGCCACCCAGTCTGTAGTGCTCATCTGTAGTCTGATCAGACTAAGTATAGAGCCAAAGTCGATTTGGGATGGAAAGGAAGACAAGAAGGAATGCAAGACAAAAAGAGGAAAAACTTAGAAGAGGTTACCTTCTTCTAATAGGATCCATTTTCTAAAGATAATTTCAACATAATTATAGAATCAAATATGAAGATTTTTTTTTTTTAGGGTCAAAAGAGCAATGTAGTAGTCAGGATTCTCCAGAGAAATAGAACCAATAAAATTTGTATATATACAATAGGATGTACACACACACACACACACACACACACACACACACACACCCACACACCCACGAGGAGAGAGAGAGTTGTTTTAAGAAATTGACTTATGTGATTGTAGAGGCTGGCAAGTTCAAAATCCACAGAGTGGGCAAGCCAGCAGGCTGGAGATCTATGGAAGGGTTGATGTTGCTGTTAGAGGGTACACACAGTGTATTAGGAGAACTTGCTCTTCTCAGGGGAGGTCAGTCTTTTAAGGCCTTCAGCTGATGGATGTGGATCACCCAGATTATGGAGGATTATCTGCTTTACTCAAAGGCTGCTGTTTTTAATATTAATCTCATCTAAAAAAATACCTTCACTACAACATCTAAATGTGTATGACCAAAATATATGAGTACTGTGGTCTTGCCAAGTTGGCACATAAAATTAATCTTCACAACTGGCATACCTCTGATGTCAGGAGAAAGTAAACTTACTTTGACAGTTTTGACTTATTAATTAAATCCAGACTTTTCAGGTAAATACCTGGTTAGCAATACATTATTTATACATTTAGTGAAATTATTTTGGTAATTGTAGCTTTAGCACTTGGGAAAAGTTAAACATAATTAACATTGATTTGCTTTAAAAAAAATGTTTAAAATTCCATAAATGTATTAAAAATGGTGAAGCCATTTTTAGTCACTCCAGTCAGAAGTGTTATCTTCTATATTAGAACATTTAAGGTAGAATGATATCTAGAAAGCTAATCACTGTGTTCTGCTCTTGGCTTTGCATTTTTAAATTCAAGATACTGCCTTGGAAAAGAACTCCTTTAATTTCTTTCCTCATTTTAATTGGCTTACCTGTAAAGTAAAAATTTAGATGAGACTTTTGAGACCTTTTCTAGCACTGTATTCTGCGATTTTGTAGTGCTCGCTTAACCCTTAAAGCATTTATCACATTTTCCTTTGAGTATAGTTATTTGTGCTCTTTACTTTCCCCCTCTAATAGCTATTTCTCTAAAAGTCAGAATAGTAAATTATTCATCTTCATATTAATCTTGCTCAATACCTTACTCAGAGCAAGCATCCAAAAAGTTGTTGAGAACATAATCTATCAATATAGTATATAAAATATTAATAGGCTATTAATATAATCTATTAATATAGTGAACTAATTATAGTTAAATGTTATTCTTCAAGACCTTATTAAATAAATATTTGCTATAGCAGTTTTTTGTCTTGGCCTTCAATTATCAATAGGACTTACCTTGAAAGATTAAAGCTAAATTGATCCTTATAGATTTCTCATTACACTCATTCACTCAGTTACAATCAAATAGATTTATTTTGAGGTTTGTCAGATACTAGTGTCACTTGAGGCAAATTACTTAGGCTCTGTCATCCTCAGTTTCCTGAAGAATAAGATTGGGAATCATATTCTTGGCAATAAGATTGGCAATAAGATTGGCGGTAGATCCTTTGCTCAACATACTATGATATTTAAATGAAGTAATATGGAAAAACATTAAGCACGGTGCTTGATAATAGTAGACATATTAAAATATTAGTTTCCCACCCCTGCATAGCATTGGGACTTTTACATCTTCTTGCTATCAGTGTGCCTATTATGAGATATTTAGTAAATGTTTCTTATATTGAAGATATTAATTCCTTAAATAGTTTACTATGAGAAATTCCATAAAACTTAAGAATAACAAAAAATTTAGAGGGTCTTTTAAATTATAATTACTATTCTTATTAAGGACAGGCTTTAAGACATAAAATAACTTTTCTTGTTGATTAAATTTGGTATTTTTATGTTATAAAAACATTTTAATGTTTAGCATTTGTATTTTTGTTTTAGTGATGTAGCTTGGTTCAACGAATCTTGGTTAAGCAGAATTAAAGAAGATATTGGTGACAACTGGAGAATAAAGGTATGCAGAATGAATAGTAGAAGCACTTTATCCAAACAGTGGCTCTAAAATTAGCACTGTACTCAACTAACTCTTTTTTTAAAAATTAATTTAAGGGCGAATTTATTGTATACAATTTGAACTTTGATACATGTATGTTCTTATGAAACAATTATTATAAAAAGATATAAAAAATTTTTATTAACCCAAAACGTGCTTATTCTCCTTCCCAGTTAATCCTTACTCCTAACTTGGCTCCAGGTGGCCAGAGATCTGCTTTCTGTCAATATAGATTTCATTTCTAGCATTCCATATGAATGGAATTAGACTTTATGTACACTTTGTCTCTAGCATCTTTTATTCAGTGTATTGTTTTTGATACTTATCCACGTTGTCTGTATTATTAGTAAATTTCTTTTTTTTGATCCATAGTATTTCATTACATTGATATACCACAATTTGTTTATTCATTTACCTATTGATGGATGTTTGAATTGTTTGTGTGCTCTTTCTTTCCTAATATTGGTAATTTATGTCTTTTGTATCTCTTTTTCTTGATAAGTCTGGTTTGATGTTTTTCAATTTTATTAATTTTTTTCAAAGAACTAGCTTTCGTTTTCTGTTTTGTTGATTTCCTCTCTGATCTTTATTATTTCCTTTTACTTACACCTGCTCTTCTTTTTCTTACTTCTTAAGGTAGAAGCATAAATCATCAGTTCTAGGCCCTTTTTCCCTAATATTAAGCACTGCCTTAGCCATATCTCATGCATTTGACAGACTGTTTTGTTTTCATTCAGTTCAAAATATTTGGTAATTTTTCTTGTGATTTTACCTTTGACCCATGGGTAAAATAGAAGTAGATATTTCAAATTCTAAATATTAGAGGATTTTCTAGGTACCTTTTTATTTCTTAATTGCTAATTTAATTCCAGTTTGGTTTAGGAATATACTGTATTAAGAAACTTTTTTAATTTTACTGAGACTTATATTGTGACCTAACATATGATCTGTCTTGGTGAATATTCCTTGTACACTTGAAAACAACATGTATTCTACAATTCTACAAATACAGATTATGTGAAATTTGTTGATAGTACTGTTTATATCTTTTGTATCTTTATTAATTTTCTGTATTTTATCAAGGCAGAAGGACTTCTTAAATTTCTAACAATGATTGTGGATTTGTGAATTTCTTCTTTTAATTCTGTTAAGTTTTAAACCAAGTAATTTGAATATCTGTTATTATGTTTATATACATTAATTTTTTATCTTATTGATGAATGAATCTACTTATTGTTATGAAATGCTTTTATTTATCCTTGATAATATTCCTTGTTCTGAAGTCTAATTTGTCTGATATTAATGTAGCCACTTCAGTTTTGTTACGACTATTTTTGCTTTAGTATATCTTTTTCTCTTCCTTTACTACATATGTCTTTATACTGGAAGTGTTTTGTGTAGACACCTAATAGTTGAGTCTTGCTTTTTTATCCACTGACAATCTCTTTATTTGGTTCTTTAAAAAAAAAAAATTTCATTTCTTATATTCATGTTTCATTTAAATCATTGGACATTTTTAAACTAGCAGTTTTAACATTTTCTAATTCTTTAATTTCCTATTTCTTGGCCAATTTTTATTGATTGAATTTTGTCTTCATTACAGTCCACATTTTCTTGCTTCTTCATGTGTAATAATTTTTTTGGATACAAGACAGTGTAAATTTTATTGATGAGTGCTGGTGTGTTTGTTTGGGGGGGGTTTTTTTTTTTTTTTTGTATTTTTTAAAGAGTATTGATTGGACTTTGGACTTTGTTCTTGTAGGCAGTTAAGAAACTTGTGAATCAGTTTGATCCTTTCAAGGTTTAGGGAGGCTAGAGGCAGATGTAGAATGATTTTTTTTCTTTTAGGGTTAGGTTAGACTCATTGCTAAGTTGTAACCTTGTGAGGTTGTTAGTAAATGTTTGCCTATACAGCATAGTCTCTTCACTCTGGCTGGTGGGAATTTCAACAATTTCTGGCCAGTGTAATCTTTGGGAATTGTTCAATTTATAGTTCCCTGGATTGTTCTTTCCTTGGAAATTATTTTTATCTCATTGAGTTTCACCCATGCACATGCAAATTAGTATTCTGCCAAAAAGTCAAAGGATCCATTATCCAGATTTCTGGAGTTCTTTCCATAGCTCTCACCTCTTCATTTGTCTGCCCTATAAATTCTAACCACCTTCACCTTCCTGACCTTCTGATGTCTATCTCCTCAACTCAGCAAGAACATCAGGCTTTGTTTAGTTTCCACCTCCCTACGCCATGGTGTGAAAATTGACCCCAGAGAGAAATCTTGGTCTAGTATAGGGCTCATATTTATTATTTTCTTTCTCTCAGAAATTAGAGTTCTATATTGCCTGTTGGCAAATTTTGAATTTTTGTCCTTTTTTCTAGTTGTTTGTGACAGGAAAGTAAGTCTGGACCCTGTTACTCACTCATGACTGAAGGTGGACATGGTCATAGCTAAATCTTTAAAGTTGGTACTTAAATTCATTGCAGCTAACTTTAAAGAGAATCACCGTGGTTAAACTATGTAAGCATGAAGACATTTTTTCTTTTGATCAAACTGATTGAAGCTTTGATGTTTAAAAATTATCATATACTTGTATTTTTAGGACTCTAACATATATTTTATCAGGGGGAAGTTTTTATTGTCTTTCACCTTGGCATACATTTTCTTTCATTATTAATATGGAATAATTTAATTATTATTTTCTCCCCATTAGGCTAGTAATTTAAAGAAGGTACTTCAAGGAATTATGAGTTATTACAATGAGGTATGAAAAACATCTGACTTTGTTTAAATACAAATGCTATTTGATAATTATGCTGACACTGAAAAATGACTTAGCTTTTTGTTTATAACATTTTACTGGAAAATAATTCATAATTGGAATATATTATTTTGCCATTTTTAGAACACTCAAATTTTGTGGACATAAACAGGCTTCAACTTAATATAACATTTCTAAAATAATGTTGCTTCTATATTGATACTCTTTAAGTTGATTTTTTTCTGAAATAGAATTACCTTTATATAATAAGATTTTATGCAGTAATGTAGACCTTTAAATTGAAGTTATTCCCTATTTAAAACATTATGACATTTCTTTTCAATGTAAACAGCCAGAATATACTATGAAATTATGCTTGTACAAGTGAATTGGGGGAAAATGCAAAATGAAAGTAGTATTAAACTCATATTAGCTAGAACATTATTCAAGTAGTTTTGTTTTTTTTTTTCTTTATTCAGCATCTTAAGTTCTCTGGTAGGATTATTTGATATAAGAAAGTTTATTGCTTAATGTTTGGAAGCTTTTGATTTGGTTTGCTATTAAAAAATTATGTTTCTGTTTTTTAAAGTTGTCACAGTTAAACTTGTAATTTCTTCCAAACAATTTTAAGACCCAAAATTTTCAATTTATTTATGCCTAAAACTCATTTCGAAGCTTTTTTTTTTTTTTTTTAATGTTACAAAACTTTTTAATAAGCTAAAAATAGAAAGATAAGGCCAGGAAAGATTAATCCATTATATTTGTTATTTATGTGTGACGGTTTAATTTGTAGGTCTCTTAATCGATCAAAAATAAAAATATCTTGAATATGCTTTGGCTTAACATAGGTCTGTTTACTTTTTAATTAAAAGGCATAGGTTTTGTCATGATAGACCAGGCCATAGGCTTCCTAAGCAATTCCTCTCTCTGACAGTGGGACCAAAGGATATTTAGTATAAAAGCATTTCAGTTGCTTTTGGTTGGTTACTCAAAATTTTGGGATGTTGCTTAAACTTTGCTAACTGGTTTTAGTCAATAATTATGGATTTATCATTTGTTAATTTATCTGAATCATTTCATGAACCTATGTATAATTTATTTTCCTAGTAATAATTAAGTGTAGTAAATTCTTTGTACATAAATGAGTAATATAATTTATTATTTCAATACTGCAGTTTTTGGGGCAACAGATTTCTGAAGAACTTATCCCTGATTTAAACCAAATAACTGAATGTTCAGATTCTGTGGAGCTTGGGAGGTTGCTCCAGCTTATTTTAGGTTGTGCAGTCAACTGTGAAAAGAAGCAAGGTAAGTGTATTTCAATCATTTGATAATATCTACTTTCTAGAAACAACCTACATTGCTATGGAAAGTAGCATAAAAATGTACTATTTCAACTTGACAGAAAAGCACCCTGAAATGTAAACCAGGAGATCTGAATTTGATTGCAGCTCTGCCACTAAAAAGCTACAAATCTTGAGCATCCTAATTATACCTGGATTCTGAGATTCATATTTAGTGGCTAAATATAATGTATTTTAATTTAATTAGTTTAATATAGTCAATGCTTAAGACATTGGAGAATCAGTAAAAATTATACTTAATCGTCTGATACATTATCTCTTTCATATTTAAGATATAGAACCTTAGGTGGATACAGATTTTCATAAATAAATATACAGGTACTAAATTATAATCCAGGTTTCTTTCCTCAGGTGATATTCTCTTCAGAAGAATGTTTCCTCCAGATAAGCAGTCTGATGATATAAATGGAATTGGCGTATTATATTGATATATCCAAACACAGTGATCTGTATTCTACTGAATACAAAAAGATTATATCAGGTTGAATATAGTGAATAAAATAATGAACGGAACAGGCCAAGGGGCTTGCATAAGTCAGGGTTGTGAGTTTTTTTGATGCTGATGTTTTTTGCACAATTCATCCAAACTTGGCTCTGGTACATTATCCTTAAAAGAGAATGTTGGGTGCTTAAGTTTGTAAAATACTTTAAGTCAGGTCTTTAGAAAACAAATTCGATGTTATCTAACTAATGAATAAAGCATATGCATATGAGACAGGACAATTTCAATAAGAACAAATTCAGAAGGAGAAAAAATACATAAAATCAATTGTAGTTTATCAGTAGGAAAGGAATTGGGTATCAGAAAATTTTGATACTGGTTTATTTCTGTCATTAGCTATCTACTTTTTTCTAAAGTAGGTCATTACTTCTTTAGAGTCTGTTTCTCACATGTAGTGTCAAAGATCTATATATTATTTTGTTTTTTTTCCCATAAAAATGAGGAATGTTTGCTTGTGGAAAGTTAAAACTTCTGTAAATGTTTAATTACAAATTGTCAGATAGTAACTTATTTTTAAATCAGCAATTTTCTGTTATCGTGATCCTTTTTATTAATACTTTGTTTCTATTTCAATTACTGATAAAACCTTTTTGCTTAATTTAGCATATTTGTCCATTTTAATACTCTTTTTCAAAGAACCAGCTTTGGCTTCGATTCTATTTTATTCATACTATTTAATATCCTTTTATCTTATTTTTCTGTTGTGAATTAATCAATTTTTTTTATTCTAAGCTATAATTGACATTTTAAACTGTAACTTTCTCTTGTTGTGATTCCGTTGCCTCCTACAAATTTAAATGTGATAGGTAGTATTTTGATAATTTAGTTCTAAGCATTACTTAGCAATTTTGTCTTCAGATGTTTAAAAGAAAATTCAGTTCTTGGATTCATAAGTAAAAGTTTACTAAGAAATGTAAAATAGTTTAATTTTCATTATTAAAAAATCGGGATTATCCGATTGAATTTATTTTTGGAGATACACGTCTGGGTTCTTAATTTTGGGAAGTGAGCAGATAAATGGAAAAAAAACTTTTAACAATTTAATTGAGATTTAAAAACAAAACAGTCCAGAATATAAAACAACTTCCATACCTTTATACTTTGTAAAATTGATTTTCAAAATGATTTCAAGGTATTGCAACAATCTCAATTTGAAAGAATGAACTAATTAGGTTTACAGTGTCCTGTTTATTTTGGTGGAGAAAGTGATCATTTTTATTAAGATTTTGGCAACCTTGAAACACTTCATTATCAAAACAAAAAAATTTAAAGGAAACTATTCCATTACCTGTGCATTCTCTAGTTAATTCTTTCCTCTCCCCCACCCCAGCAGCACTTTGGGAGAATCTTCGGTTTAGCTTCACAAATAAAAGAAAGGTTTAGAGAACTTTCTGAAATTTTCCAAAGGAGTCATTAAAACAATAAAAGTATTGGAAAATAATAAGTCCTTAAAACTTTTAGAAAATTGTTTTAACTGGTGAATATACAGTTGAAATGGATTTAAATCTGTTAATACTCATGATTCCTCATTTGTAAGTGGGGTAGAATCAGTTTAATTTATTATATGTGTATTTGTGGAAAGGCATAAGGATCTCCTTGAGATGAGAATAGGTAAAAGTTGAGCAGGTCTTTACAGGAAGCTAAATAAGTTCCTTCTCTGAAAGCTTTCCTGAAATGAACTGAGTAGGTAGTAAAGTGAAACATCCTGGGTTTAAGATTTTAGGAGTTCATTTAATACACATGAATTCATCCCATTAATATTGAATATTTAACAAGAGAAAAGAAGTTGTCATAATTGTTTTAAGATTAATTGCAATTTATTTTTCTCTTATAAGAAAATTAAAGGTTTCATTTAAAAAACATGTAAAATATTTATGTTAATATCATCAATTCTGCTTATTTATTTTCAATGGATAAATTTCTTGTGGAAAAATAATATACTTGCATAGAGAACATTATGCAGGTACATTATTTGCATAATGTACTGTTAATTGAATGGCTTAAAAGTATTATGGGTAAAGAGTAGATTTTTTTCATATTTGATTTTTTTAAATCATAGAACATATTCAAAATATAATGACACTGGAAGAGTCTGTTCAACATGTGGTCATGACTGCTATTCAGGAGGTAAGTTATATTCACATATGTATGAAAACCCTAAACCAAAATATATAAAAGTTCACATAAATTTTATGGATGTTTATTTTTCACTTTGTATAAACTTGCCATTTGCAGCAGGTTTACTTATCTTTAGCTATTGTGTCTTCCTTTTTTTTTGCCTCCAAAATACATTAAAAGAACGTCCAGCCCAATTTTAATCCCTGTGCATTTTAAAAGATAAATTGATATTATCAAGTTTCTTTAAATAACTTCAGCTAAGCAGTCTAAACAACCACTGCCTAGATAAAAATTTTTATTTCTTCTCTTTTTTCTGCCAGTTAGAGCAATCTTTTCTGAAATTTTACAGAAGGGGAGAGAGGGAGAAAGAGAGGGTGTATGTGTGTGTCATGCATTTTTGGAATGTTAGAACTGTGAGTGAATGTGGTCATACTTAGGGTCTGGAGCCAGGTAGCCTGGGTTTATCTAAGTTGACCATAAAGATTCAGAATTTCTTTGGTGCATGTTTTTCCTTAAAATCAGACTGAAAAGGCTGAGACAAGTAGAGTGCAGAGATATGAGGGAAAGTAGAGTGTGGGATTAGTAAGGACAAATGTAGTTTGGAAGCGGGTGTTTGAATTAGAGGGAGATAACATTTAGGACTTTAGAAGTCTATATACTGTGAGTTTGCATTGTTGGTTAGGATCCAAAGCATCACTAAACATAAATAAATCTACCTTTCATATGCAAAATAGTTACTTTACAGGATTTTTTTCTCTGTAACTCCTACTTTTTTATTATTTATTGAGGTGACATTGGTTAATAAAATTATGTTTCAAGTATATAATTTAATAGTACATCATCTGTATATTTCGTTGTGTGTTCATCTCCCAAAGACAAATCTTCCATCACCATATATTTGACTCCCTTTACCCTTATCTACCTCTTACTTTTAAAACGACTTCTCAAATTAGTAATTTTGTCATGTCACGTACTTAAAGGCTTTATTTTAAGAATTAATTTATGTTATGGAAGAATCATTTTTTAGTATAGTGTTCAGTTTTATTTAGAACTTGGATTATAATTTTTTACTATATAAGTATTTTCAATATAACTACATATTTCAAGCACACTATTTCTTCACCAATATGTTCGAACATTGTATTATTAAACCTCTATAAAGTTTTTATTTGAATACTATTCAAAGGATTATCAAATTAAGACAAGGAAAACTAAAAGAAAGCATTTTACTGTTGTTTCAAGTAAACTTATTTTTACTGCATAAACATCACTTTTTGTACTTAATTTTACTCTTTTAATTTCCTAGTTGATGAGTAAAGAAATACTGAGCTCTCCTACAAATGATGCTGTTGGAGAATTAGAGCAACAGGTGAGTAAGTATGTGAGGAAAACGTTGAAAACAATTATATAGCACTTTGCCAGTTGCTATATAAAGCTTACAGAGGAGAGCTTATACACATTATTTTCCTCCATGAAGTTTAGTTTATTCTGTTATGAGATCACAATTGAATATATGCATTCCTTTCTGAATGCAAGTAGTGTTGGTCTGCAGAGTTTTTTTATGTTTGAAGAGTGGTATTGAACTTTCTTTCTGACACTTGTAATGCATATATGGCCCATTTTATATGGTTACACAGTTAAATAGTAGACAATTTAAAAAATTCTGCTATATAATAAGGCAATATAATTTTTATCACAGTTATCCTGATTTTGAAGAAACAACTCAAAGACCATGTACTCAAGTATCCTTTCCCTGGTTTTATTACACAACTATGTCACATGGGGGAAAAGGTATTCTCCTATGTATAACCCAATCTGGTTATAAGGGAAAGGTTAAGAAAAGAGGCAAATGCCTCAAGTACTTTTGCTGTTATATTTTTGGAAATCTGTTTTTCATGAGTGTCATCAGTTATGTCAAGAAGTATTTTTTATGTGATGAAATTAAGCAATGCATCATCTAATACTCTTGTTTAAATATTTCACAAGAATTTATATAAAATTTTATTTCTGTGGGCTCTTAGTCTTAAATGTTAATGAAACTGTAAATATTATTCACACAAAAACAAGTTAAGACTTACTTGTTAATAGGTAAGGTAAAATTTTAAAATTGTTTCTAGTATCAGTGTATATATGTGTTGTGATAAAAGTATATTTTTCAATTTGTGTCAAAGCATGATTTATTAATAATTAGGACATTTTATATTTCAGCTTAAAAGGGCCCTGGAAGAACTTCAGGAAGCACTAGCAGAAAAAGAAGAACTGAGGCAAAGATGCCAAGAACTAGATATGCAGGTGCGAAAAAGGAACCTGATCTAAGAAAAATTTCCTCTTTAAGTTTAATTTTATTTTAATTAATTAATTGGCAAAGTGTTTTGGAGGTTGGATTTTATTTCATGGAGGGACCATTAAAATAATTTTTTATAGACTTGAATATTCAAGCATGCATTTCATAATTTTTCTCTTATAAGAGTTGAAAATTGCTGGCTTAACTATTTCTTTGAGAAGATCATTCTGATTGTAGAATTTCAACTACAGTATTGAGATGAAGCCTTAGTTTTTTCTTTTGTAAAAAGGAGAAAGAAAAGTAGCTACTTCATAGGATATGAATATTAAATGAGGTGATTTATGGAAGAGAAATGCTTAACTCCCAATAAATGCGAGTGCCAAGTTCATTTTGCTAACATGTACATGTGTATGTATTCTTGTGTTCATACACACATACATGTTAGCAGAATAAACTTGGCATGAGAGACAGTAGTTAATGGTTAAAGGGATAGATTTCAAACCAGGGCACCTATATTCAGAACCTGACTGTGTTAATTAGATGGTTGTAGACTCTCAGGCAAATTACTTAATTTCTCTATACTCCAATTCTCTCTTTTGTGAAATGGTGTGTTAATAGTATATATCTCCCAGAGTGATTATGAGAATTAAATGAATAATATGCATAAAGCACCTAGACCAGGGCCTGGCACATAGCACTTTGTCTGCATTTGCATATATCGTTGTTATATGCAAATGCAAATGTGAAAGTTATGCAGTAAGTCTTGAAAAATTATACAAAAGATTAAATGTACCATCATAATATGCAGTATGTAAATTGCACTTTTTGTTCAAATAATGGGCTGCATAAGTAGGTGACACACCGAAAAGTCAAGAACAAGGGTTGTGGTAGCAACATCCTTGCTTAATGAGATAAATGTCTACAGTAATAAGGCTGTGTCATATTTCTAATCCTTAAGGGTTTGCGAATAAGGAAAAGAGAGGTGATTCGGTCAGGGTGATTAGCTACTTAGGACAGTGACAATACCAGAATCCAGGTCTTCCTACTTTATTTCTAAAAATCAGTCCTCTGTGTTCACATAAAGCCAATGGTTCAATTTTAGAGGAAATTCTACCTGTTTTTCTTTCATCTTTTCTAACCATACTCATCTTGCACATTATAACACACACACGTAAGCATCTGAGATATATCATTTTCAAATAAGATCATATCCACCCTCCAGAATACCTCATATAAAGAATAGAAAATTGAACCATTCAGATATTACCAGTATCGTATAGGATCTGCATATAGTTTTCTGAGAAATTCTTATTCAATAAAAAACAAAATTTTGTGTTAAAAAATTTAAGTGTTTGTAACAGTATAGAGTATATGATGATCTGATTTTAGTTGAAAAGTACAGACATCTTAAGTTTTGACATTTTAATTCCAGTATTAAAATAGTGTCAACCTGTATCTCTTTGCTATGCACATAAAATGAATGATTACTGCATATAACCAGAAAATAATTTATTTAACATGGAATCCATACAAGTATATATGATACAAATCCCAATTTTATAAGGAAAATTGTTTTTGAAAAATGTTTAGTTTTAATCATATATCACTTGAGAATGATTTTAAAATTTGGGGGGATTCTTTTTTAATACCCAACCAAATGAAACAGAAAAGAAAAATAAGCTGTAAAGAAATTTACCAAGGACAGGTAAACAAGAAAAAAGTCATACTTAATGAAGTGAAAATAAAAATACTGGTAATCAAGGAAAGAAGCAGGCACATGGCGTTGACAGAGGTACAGCACAGCAGGCTCCTACTATTGGTCCCTTATTCCCAGCCCATGTAGGGGAGTCAACAAAAATCTAAAATCTTGAGACTTCTCACTGCAGACTACCCAGTCAGAAGGAAATTCACCCTTTACTTCCTTCAGGGTTTTAGTTTTTGTTTTTGTTTTTTTATTTTTCCTTTGTAGTGGGGAGGAGTGGAAATGATGGTTAAGAAGAAACAAAGGCTATAGGGCTACACTGAATTGGGGAAACAGTTTGATGCTCAAAAGAGTTTCCCAATGGGAATGGATGGCATACACTTCTCACCACCCTGGTATAAGATACTTAAAAACCTCAAAAGTGAGAGCCTAGCCCATGTGTTGTAAAAAGGTTGCCCATTGCCTCAATTGACCAGCCCCCCACCCCCCCCACTCCCCC